TTCAAGGGGGAAAAAACATGAACACCACTTGAAGGAACCACCGCCGCGAGGGCTTTACTGCCAAATGAAACTGGGGCAAGGGGGGGGGGGGGGGGGGAGCACCAATTCAAGGGGGAAAAAACATGAACACCACTTGAAGGAACCACCGCCGCGAGGGCTTTACTGCCAAATGAAACTGGGGCAATATCTAGGAAAGCATGGAGATAAAAGATGGAGGTTAAGGACGACTGAGGCGCTGGTCGGGGTGGATGGGTGGGTGGGTGGGCAATGGGAAGTCTACGGTGATAATGAGGAGGTTGGGCGATATTCAGGCAACATCAACAAGCAAGCAAGGAACAACAACTGACCTTTTCCCCTCTTCCACCTCAACTTCGCTGCACCCTCACCCCCCCCCAAAAAAAAGAAAAACAAAACTAAAAAAGAACTGTGGCAGTTGCTGCACTACTGAGGCGCTTTTTTTACAGGTTTGTCGCCATATGTGTAGAAAAAAGATCTGGCAATGTCAATGGCACAGCCGACAGGCGGAGTTTCCAGTCCACCCGACCCGAGGAGGCAGTCATATAGCAACACTCCCTCTCATGGGGGCTGATCCACAACAAGATCTCAGACAGCTTCAAACTGCTTCAGCTCTCCGATGCGGTCACAACCTTCGGCCATTCTTGGAGTTACAGTGATGTGACAGTCTCTAGGCAAGGGCTGAGATGAATTGAGGAAGGCAATCTGACAGTCAATCCGGCCTTCGAGGGAGGAATCTCCAAATCAGTGCTGCTCAGGGATGCTTTGTCCTAGACGGAAGGTAGCGTGAGTGTCCTCAAATCCATTGAATGTGACTTGCTGGGGGAGTAGAAACCAGAATGCTGATCCCCATAACGGATATGGACTCTTATGAAGCCAGGAGCATAAGGACCTGTTTTAAGAAAAAATAAAACCCCAAAGAAACGAACCAAATGGATGAAAAACAGAACGGAAAGGGGAAACAGACGTACCCTTCATTGGAACCACTGCCTCGAGGGCATCCGTCACATGACAAAAGGGTGGTGTTGGGGTGGTCAAGCAATTCATGAGTTTCCCCATGAGTTTGAACATGGAGCAAAAGGTCCAGCCAAGCCAGAAAATAAAAAGAAACACAATTGATATCGATGAGGTACCCAGCCCATGTGGCTGAATAGTATACACATGTAACTGTTCGCAAACAGATCATGAGCTAGAATCCAGATGGGAGCAATACAACAATAATTGGAGAATTCAAATTTCAAACATATGCTGCGTATCGTATAATGTTAGGGGCTGCCCCCTGTAGAAAAGAAGAGGAGGAGGGAAACCGTTGATGTCTTTGACGACCCGTGATTACCTCTGTTACACGGACTTGGCCCGTGAAATTGGGCACAGCAGACCCAGCAGAAGCTGCTCCTCCCTCTCCACTAATAGCAATGATATGGGATGCCAAAAGCTGCCGAAACCGTTCCTTGCAATGGAACGGAAGTCTGTGCCTTCCCCTGAATAACGATCCATCAGGCATTCCAGCAAGGACATCACTAGCAAGCCACCAGTTTCCTCCATACTCGTGAACGACTGCACACAACACAGCGTCCTCAGCAACCGTCCAAGGTGACGCTGGAGGAGCATGCTCGTCCCGCACCATAGAAAATCCTTTCTTTTTCTTGCTCTCTCTTTCAAGTTTCAGCTGGAGAGCCTTCTTCGGAGCAGCGGCTGCTCCTGTAACCAAACCTCGCTTTGGTTGCTCCGATGCTCCTTTGGCCCGCTCTTTCCCTGTGCTGTTGTCACCAGCTTTACCTCCGACAGTGCCAGCAGCTCCTTGATCTTTTGGTCCTTGCTGATCCGTGTCCCGTGCTCTTGACCACTCTTCCAGCTCTTCCAGTCTTTTCTTTGGCTTTGCCTTCGCCTTTGCTTTTCCTTTGCGCCCTGTGTAATCATCCTCGTTGGTCGGTACTGTACCGGCAACAACAATCTGACCAAAACCTGCTTGAGAGGCATCCATTCCTGAGGAGCTCCTTCCCAACTGCTTGAGGTGTTTAGACCGTTTGCTCAAAAGCTGGAGATCTTCCGGACTCTCCTTTCCTGCCTTCCTCTTTCGGTTGGATGGACTGCTTCGTAACACCCCAACACATACAAGACAGGCAACAGTCATTAGGGATTGTAGAGGGGTAAGAAAGGAAGGATGATAGTGACATACATGTTCCCAACCCACAAAAATTGTGTGAGGTCAGGTCTGCAACAACCATTACGGGTTGCAGAGGGGCGGGGCTGCAACATTAGGGATTGTCAAGGGGTAAAGGAAAGAGTGTATCAAAAAATGGTCACCGGAAGTCCCCAAAACGTCAACATCCGGCCTGGTGGAACACTGAAACAGGCTCAACTTTTCGAAAGCCACATAAAAGTCACATAACATCTCGCCATCTGCAGACAGCCTTTGAAACCATCAAGATCCTTCAGAACTCACCAAGACCTCTCTCTCTCTCTCTCTCTCTCTCTCTCTCCATCACCTGTGTGTGTGTGTGTGTGAAGCGCTTCGTATTCAAAAGAACATAAAGTTATAAACAGAGGCCAGCTTGGATCCAACAAAACATGAACAAAATCCTCTGTTTAATTTAAACTTTAACGCTTTTGCTTGGGGAAAAAAAGGGTCCAGGAATGAGGAGTGGCTAACATTATGAAATTTGATAAGATTCCATAATCTGACATCATGAATCGACCGTTCTACAAGTGCAATGCTAAGCCACCATAGACAGGAAAAAATATCCTGAGTAAAGGGGGGGGGGAAATGGAAAGGGTACAAGGACAAACCTGCTAAGAGACGAGTCTTCGTCAAAAGTTGAATCAGAGGGTTGTGAATCCATCGAAAGTTTACCCTGCAAAGTAAACGCCGGCATCAAGAGGAAGACATCAAACTGTGAGTGTGAATTTGTCACGATGTTTGGGCAAGAAAAGCCTAAGCT